CCCCCCCCTTGATGTCTTTTTGTTAACAACATAATGTTGGAAAAATAACTTACAAAAATTATATTAAACAAATGATTAGAATGCAGAATTTATATTTCTATTGAATGTATTCGGGAAGAAAAAAATACTTGAAAATATAAAATAAGAAAATTCACAAAAAATTGATTTTTATTCACTGGTATTTTCTGACTTAATCATTTGAATAAATCCAACTTGCTGTGAACATTTTGCTTATTGTAATTGTGTTGTCAGTTGTTTGTAATCTGAAATCTGGATTTTTTGCAAAATTAGCAGTTTTGCCATCAGCAGGTGATTTATATTTAAACTAGTTGATAGCTTGGGAATTCAGCTTTGCCCGGAAACTATTTTTTGAACGGAGATTGCATAAATGTACAGGGGGAGTAAAAAAAAACGTGTGATTAGCGTCGTCGTCTTTTTCATGACAAAATTTTTCATTAAACTTTCATTTTTGCATTATTTTGGAATATTTTCTTTTATTTGTTTAAAAAACTTGCATGGTACCACAAAAATCCGCGAACCTTTTTTTCTCGTCAAAATTGAAAGTAAGAAAAACAGAAGTGTGATGAAAGATAATTGCTGTCAAATCTTAAAATGTCATATGTATGAAGGGACAGTCTTTTAAATTTTAAGTGGGACTCTCTAAGATACCCTTAAACCCATTATCTGATCAATAATGTGAAAGATATACTCTTTGAATGTTTATTGTGCACTGTATATTGTAATGTACAGTGTACACTGTAAATCATTATTGAAAACACAGAATATTTGTAGAACACTGTGTTTAGTGTACATTGTAAATACTACTTGAAAAAGTAAAAAAATGTTTTGTAGAAAACTCTGTTCACTGTTCAGTGTACAGTGTATAAATAGTATTGTGTTGGACACCGTACAGAATCTATATACATGATTTGTCTGTCTTGGAGTCTGTCTGTCTGTCAAAAATACCGACAAACAGCTAAACCGATCGGGTCCCTTTTTTTGTGGCACTTCACAAGAGCCCAGGAAAGGTATATGGTGTACATATATGGACAGACAAAATTAAAAAGTTATGTCTGGATAAATGTATCGACATTTGGTATTAAGATAATAAAACTTGAAAAACAACATTTTAAAGGCAAAATTTTTACTAGAAAGGAAGAACATGTTACAGTAGAAAGAAAGAACCTTGTACACTAGAAAGAAAGAACCTAGAACACAGAAAGGAAGAACATAGTACTGTAGAAAGAAAGAACCTTGTACACTAGAAAGAAAGAACCTAGAACACAGAAAGGAAGAACATAGTACTGTAGAAAGAAAGAACCTTGTACACTAGATAGAAAGAACCTAGAACACTGAAAGGAAGAACATAGTACTGTAGAAAGAAAGTACCTTTTACACTAGAAAAAAAGAACCTTGTACACTAGAATGAAAGAAGCTAGTACACGAGAAAGGAAGATCCTAGTACATTAGAAAGAAAGAACCTAGTACACTAGAAAGAAAGAATCTAATACACTGGAAAGGAAGAACATAGTACATTAGAAAGAAAGAATCTAATACACTGGAAAGGAAGAACTTAGTACACTAGAAAGAAAGAACATAGCACACTAGAAAGAAAGAACCTATTACATCAGAAACAAAGAACCTAGTATACTAAAAAGAAAGAACCTATTATACTTGCCAGGAAGAACCTAGTACACCAGAAAGGAAGAAACTAGTGCACTAGAAAGAAAGAAACTTGTACACTAGAAAGGAAGAACCTATTACACTGGAAAGGAAGGACCTATTACACTGGAAAGGAAGAATATAGTTCAAAAGAAAGAAAGAACCTAGTACACTAGAAAGGAAGAATCTAGTACATTAGAAAGAAAGAAACTAGTTCATTAGAAAGAAAAAACCTAGAAAGAAAGAACCTTGTACACTAAAAAGAAAGAACCTGGTACACTAGAAAGAAAGAACCTGGTACACTAGGAAGAAGAACCTTATACACTAAAAAGGAAAAACCTAGTACACTAGAAAGGAAGAGCCTAGTACACTAGAAAGGAAGAATCTAGTACATTAGAAAAAAGAACCTATTAAATTAGAAAGGAAGAACCTAGTAAACAAGAAAGGTATGAACATATTTTACTAGAAAGGAAGAACGTATTATACTAGAAAGGAAGAACCTATAATACTAGAAAGGAAGAACGTATTATACTAGAAAGGAAGAACCTATTATACTAGAAAGGAAGAACCTAGTACACTAGAAGGGAAGAATCTAGCACACTAGAAAGGAAAGGCCTGGTACTTTAAAAAGGAAGAACCTTGTTTTCTAGAAAAAGTATATAAACGTTGCTTTAAGGACACAGCTTCATTACTTAATAATGATAACTTAACTGTTGACAGAAGAACCTGATTCCCTGTACGGTCAAGCCATTGCACTGGATTCCGCTGGTGTACTGTACACTGTTGGGGGTACATCAGGGTTCCAGTACTATATGGATATTAACAGTATTGATCTTACCAGGTACTGATATCTCGTGGGATGGGGGGCTGGGGGTTGGCTGTAATTGGGATAGTTAATTGTTTTAACAAGAATTTTATATTTTTGGATCAAAGGGACAGCTTACTTACAAAATCACGCAAAAAAAAAATCAATTATTACTCTGCCAAGTGAATTAGATTGTTTATATCATAATATTATATACGATAAAGAACTGTAGAGTAGTTCCAAGGGACTCTCCTATCTAAGAGCGGCATGTCCAATTCACCATGGTACCCTCAAATACTTTGGCTGGTCTAAAATTAAAAAGATATTCATATTTTTTTATAAACGACTTGCAGATTTCTTGCGGAAAATGGAGGAATCGTGAAAGGTAAATGCTTCTGAAAACAGCGATAATTCCGAATTATTGATCAGATAAGGGTTTAGGAGGTACCGTTATAAATCGGGCACGGATCCCTTAAAAGGCGGTTTTCTTGCAATTGTAAGGTTTCCAGGAACGAAAGGAAAGAAAAGAAAACTTGTAAAATTTTAAATTCGATTTCTGAAGTTGAACTTTTGTCTTCCACAAGAGTTATTAACAGTAAATACTAATAAAAAAGTTTTTAAGTTACAGTTTTCTTTCAGTAATTCTCCGATCTGGGAATGTTTGTACTTTTCTGAATCAGATCAACAGAAACCCTTACCCAGGTAGGTCAAGGTCAAGTAATATGAGACCTAGACCAGGTAGATCAAGTAGTAGAAGTCCTAGACCAGGTAGGTCAAGTACTAGGAGTCCTTTGCCAGGTAGGTCAGGTAGAAGGAGTCCTAGAACATGTAGGTCAATTAGTAGGAGTCTTAGACCCGGTAAGTCAAGTAGTAGGAGTCCTAGACCAGGTAGGTCAAGTAGTAGGATTCCTAGACCAGGTTGGTCAGGTAGTAGGAGTCCTAGACCAGGTAGATCAAGTAATAGGAGTCCTAGACCAGGTAGTTCAGGTTGTAGAAGTCCTAGACCAGGTAGGTCAGGTAGTAGGAGTCCCGAGTCCTAGATTAGGTAGGTCAAGGAGTAGGAGTCCTAATACTGGTAGATCAAGTAGTAGGAGTCCTAGACCAGGTAGGTCAAGTAGTAGGATTCCTAGACCAGGTAGGTCAGGTAGTAGAAGTCCTAGACCAGGTAGGTCAAGTAGTAAGAGTCCTAGATTAGGTAGATCAAGGAGTTGGAGTCCTAATCCTGGTAGATCAAGTAGTGGGAGTCCTAGACCATGTTATCAAATACTTAATTCAATTATTTCTAGATACAGACATGAGATGTGTGTTTACAATAACCTGTTATATATACTGGGAGGGGGAACCTCTACTACAGTATTCGGGTTCAAAACTATTCCAACCTTTTATCTAGGAACTCATCAAAACTGATAAAAAACTGTTTGCACGTTTTATAAAATTCACCTTTCTTAAAACTTATTTCATACTAACTTAAGTGCCTGACGTTGCCCATGGAATTTTGAAAAGAAATGTCGATGTTGAAAAAATAAATAGTTAGCATATGTTGCCCGCAGGGCACCTCTCAGAGTTCTCTCATAAAATGTCAGCCCATTTTGTCCAGCCGTTTGGCCAGCTTTAGCTGACATATATTATTATAATACCATCTATATTTATTATGTAGATGGTATTATATGAAGTCCATTAGTTCGAGAAATTATCTGATTTAAATAGTTAAAATTTACATTTGATCTGTAGTTGAGAGAGAATGGAAATATACTAAAACAGAACCAGACAAATTTGTTATCGATTTTTCCAACGTGAGTACATTTTTGCTAACGCGAAATCACGTGTTCAGTTACGCAAATTATTTCAATTTTGCGTAGGTTCGCATAATTATGCGTAAATAGAGACAGGCGCGCAACTAGGGGGGGGGCCAGGCCCCCCCCTAGCCTGATTAAGGGGGGGCATGCCCCTCCCTTAAGAAGTCTTGCCCCCCCCCCTGTAGGGGGCAATGAAGTGACGAAGTCCACCCTGTTTTGCAATTTAGCGATTCATGAATCCTGACCCTGAGCAAATTTAATAGCTCTCATCGTAAAATAAAAAAAAAAGATAATTGAACGTTAGTTTATTGAGCTTAGTTGCAATCGATATAGCACTTAATACACCATATACACACACACAGACCTCCTCCGTCTCCGAGCCTAACTACTGCCGTAGATCAGAACAGGTTGACAAGGTTAACCAAGGTACCTTAATCTTTGTTTTTTTTCATTATGCTGTTTTTTCCTATGAAAGGGAAAGGGGCACCAAATGTCTAGTTGCGCGCCTGAATAGAGAAACTTCAATTTCGCGAAAAATGTCTTAAGGATAGATTGTTGTGAATTAGACATGCCATACTGTTGGGTGACCTAAAAATACGTCTCTAGTCCTATAAACGGAAGTTAAGGTTTAATTAAGAAACTGAGACGTAGTTAATTCGTTTTTCAATTCGTTAATGCAAATATCTTCTCCCAGGGTTAAAATGTTTGCGAATTTTTTTAAACAAACAGTTAATTTGTAAAACTTCTCAACATTTTGTGGAATCTTTTTAAAGTCACTAGAATACTAGAACTACTCCAACTTGAAGTTCACAAGATAAGTCCGGTTGAATTATTTGTACTGAGTTAAACTATTTCTTGCAATTACTCTTTCATGATTTAGAATAGATTAGACGGATTCCCGGACCCAAGGAGATGCCACAGTGCGTTGGCGAGGGACCATATGGTAAGCGATGTATTTCTTTTATTCTTTTTGTTTTTGTTTTTCCGAGTCCTTTTTTTATCTCTTCATTTTTCTTCAGACCAATTCAACATTTTTTTTGTTTCTTAGCCCCTCTCCCCCTCCCCTTTCAATAATATTTTTTCTTAAATCTTGGAATATGATGGTTCATAATGAAAGTTTTTGAAAATTCATAGTCATATTTTATCATGTTTTACTAGTTAATTTTTAATATCTCAGTTGCCTTTCATCCCCATCTCATAGGGAAGTTTTTTTTGTATTTTCTCTCTCATTTCTCAGTTTCTTATTAAAAACTTAACTAAAAGAACTGTTCAGTGTTCAATGTTGTTCAAACCTGCTCTAACTGTTAATTGTTAGATAGTTGATATTTCATTTTTTATTATTTCCATTGAAACTTTTTGCAAATAAACGGGAAAACTATCGGTGGTTTATATTTTCTTAGAACATCCCTCCCCCCCTCCCCGGCCCCTCCCTTGAAAAACAGTTGTTCAAGGGTTTATTCGGTTTATTCTTTGAATTGCGGAAAATTGAATTTTTGGGTTAGAAGTATTTACAGAGTAAAAACCTTGATATCCAATATTTTGTTTTCCAAATCAGCTGTGGATTGTTAAATTTATCAAAAGAAATACTCCAAATAATTATTCTTTTTAAATGGAATAAATTTTTTTTCATTTAGGTTTATATAATTGGAGGTTATGATGGGAACACCATATTTGATGACATCTGGAGACTGGACCTTCTCACACTTCAGTGGATTAAGTTAGTTTACAAGATTTATCTTAAAGAGATTGTTAGCTTTGTTTTACGGTTGACTGTGCCCTTCAGTCTTAAGGTTTTCTGTTGCGTTTACCCGTGATCATTAGGTTCAGTACAGTTTTGTGGTGCTTTTTGGCCTTTTTTTCGCAATTTTTAACGGTTTATTTGCTGATTCAGAGGGAAATAAACACAGGATATAAATGAGCATGACAAATCATTTTTTTTTTTTTGGGGGGGGGGGGTAATTCTTTAAAACATAAACATATATAACATACAACATATAATTTCGATGCTTTGCCTTATTATATGTTACATTCTTGATGTATGGTACTTTCCCAAGGGTGACTTCCCAAGTGACAATTTTCTATGTGGCAATTTCCCAAGCATCAACTTACCAAAGTTTAGGTTAGCCCTTCTGAGGCGCTGCAGGCTGCAATGAGGGCAGAGCACTGCGGCTAGAACATTGCCGCTTGGGAAATTGCACATTTGGGAAGTTGCTACTTAGGAAAATACCCTTGGAAAGTTGCCAATTGGGAAAATGATTTCGGGAAAGTACCTAGCATTACATTCTTGGTTTAATTATTGTATTGTCAGGTTACGAGTTATCCTACCTAATCCTGTATATTTTCATGCTTCAACATTAACAAAGGTAGTTTAATCTCACTCTGCTATTTGCCAGTTGTGTAAATTATCAAATGATTAAGTAGTTGAACTAGGTGTGGTTAGTTAAACTAAAACGTTGTTCCGCTGAGACTCATCGAACTAGCACAGGAAAGTTTTTCCCCTAACCTTGCCTTGCTCCATTACTGTTCGCTTCGAACTTAAGTTAGGGAGCCTACATTTAGAATCTTTTGTAGGGATGTGTATCTTTTGAATATATAATGTATAAAATTAAATATAACGTTTTGAAGTCCGGTTTATAATTTTTTGGACTTTTGGGACTACAAGGCTTTATAACTGTTCAAAGAGACGTTTATCTAAAAACAAAATCCTATTTTTTAAAAGTATGTTTTTATTACTTTAAGCAAATTTGTTTCTCTGTTTAAATATATTAATTAAATCTTTATCAAAACGATTTTAGCAATCGTTCTGACATTTTTTGTTGATATCTTAGATCAGAGTGAACATTTTTGCATAATGTAAAAAAACTAGCAAACATTTCAAAATAACATCTCGGATTTTTGTGGATAATCTTAAAAGTAAAAAAGCGGACCTTAAAAAGAATTCTTCTGTAGTACCTGTTAGGTACTACAGAAACAATTTGTACCTTAACATTTCAAAAGAAGAATTTTCAAATAATTTTTTTTGTTTTTTTCGTTAATTATATGCTCTTAGCATAGAATCATCCCGAAATATGTTTTTTAACATCTTTTTTTGGCAGTTCAGATTAGGGTTTTGTGGGAAATTTTTTTATTTTTACAGTTGTTGATATTTTGCACTTTGGGATCCGGATCCGAGGATCTGCATAGTTTTGCGAACCCGGATCCAGGAAGCCAAAATGTTTAGGATCCAACGGATCCGGATCCTAAGCAGGATCTGAGCATGAATGAAAGTGCACAATTGTGTTCATAAATAGATAATTGATAATTATTAATACTCAGGATGGACAGCTGATCATTTTTGGAGGTGTCGACAATATAGAAGAAAACAGAAGAACGGATAAAGTTTTCTCTGTTTGGTTAGAACCTCCTTCATTGAGGTCAGTTCAGCTTGTTTTATAGGGGTGTATATTTTTTTAACAAGCAACGCCCCCACCCCTTAAAAATTAATAATTTCGGGTAAAAAGTATTTAAAAAAGGGGGTTCCTGCCAGTTGATTTTCAATTTTTTTCACTCCTAATCTTCAGGACCGGGGAGACAAGGCAAAAAGATAAAGAAACTATTTTTTTTGGCTGATAAAATATTGTCTCGATATCTTCACTGAGGGGACCCTAACATTTTTCAGATTTGTTTTTTTGATGCCTAGCATTTTCGTTACATCTTCGTCGATATTTGAAAATTGTCCGATTAAGTCCTAATATTTACCATACCCTGTTATTGAGTTGTTTTAAATAATACTCGAAAAATAATAGGTCAACCCACACATTTGTCAAGATTGCGAAAGCTACTTACATCTCGAACAGCACATGTACTCTAGAAAAAATTGGGTTCCCATATAGTTTTTATTTAATAAAAATACAACATTTTTATTATATTTTTGTTGTTTAAATTCTATAAAGCCTTGTATCTATTCTTAAACTCATTTAATTTGGATTTTTAATTCATAATTATCAATTGACCCATACTGTTTTTGTATTGATTGTACTTTACAGCACATGTGCTCTAGAGCTGACACATAACATTGTACTCTACGGTAAATGTACTTTAGAGCTCTATATATGATTGTACTCCTACAGTACATATACTCTAGAGCTATGTGTATGGAGGCTGTGCAGCATTATATTCCCAACCTGTCCACCATGAGCCCGGATATAATTCGTGAACTCGGAATACCAGGTCAAACCAACTTCACAATGTTCCGGGTCATAAAGAGAATTTGTTGGCGGGGGGGGGGAGGGTTTGTAGCGCCTCTTTTTTTAGGGAAATCTTAGCTTTTAAATGTTGCGTTGAAACTTTTTCTTTGTTCGTTATAAAATTTTGGTTGAAATTTGACCATCTATTTACCTTCGCTAAGGCCAGAATTTGTGTGCAGTTAACCCCTGGATCAAGCATCTTTTCATGTTTTTAAAAACTAATTCCTATTGGGTATTCCACGGTCGGAAGTCAGCAGGAATCAAGAACTAATCGCTTAAAATAAAAATCTGCATCGGGATAAAAATGTCGATCTATAGGTTCGGCCGTTTAAACGTTTATTGTAACAAAAACGCAAACAAATAAGCAATCAAGTCAGATATGTAATAATACATAAAGGGTTGCCTACAAAGCATGAGACTTCAGAGACGACAGTACAAAATTTAATCAGTCTTTTTTCTTACATTTATGGTACCCGGCAATTGTAAACTTTTTCCTTGCCAAAATCATTGAAAATACATCATTCAAAACTCTATACAAGACGGAATACAAAATTAAAATCTGAAAACGTATTATTTTAAGAGATTTAAGTCGTTATTAATGTTCTATTCTTTTTAGGTAACCCTGTATTTATCTGAAAGATTTCCGAGTTCGATAGAAAAACTAACAATTTTTTATTTACAGAAGATTGAGAGTTTGAAGAGAGGAGTTATGATTTAATTCATAAAAGATTTCACTCCAACTTAAATTTCCTTTAATACTGACGGTCGGATTAAAGATGAACGTTAGTCATCATCTCAGCCTTCAACACCGTGTCTTGATGACAATGATAGTGACAAAATTAGTGATACAGGGAATTGGGTCAAGGCAAGGGTTTCCAGCTCAAGTAGATTTGCTTGCGCGCAATTGCAGGCCCTTTATTTTCCGCGCATTTCCGCACAATTCCGCACAGTTTCGAGCAATCTGCGCAACGGAATTCCGATTGGAAACCCTAGTCAAGGCTCTGGGCCGGACTTTAAGATGTTGAAACATTAGTGTTCTTACTTTAATACACTAGTTGTTAATTCAACCATTGAGAAGTGATCTGAAATATATCCAGACTTTGATTAGAAGTGTAAAAAAAGTTAACCATCAGATCATGAGTATTCAGTAGGTCAAATACAACTCTATGGTATTTAAGCTGTTTCTTAAAAACAGATTTTCCTTGCAAAATTAATCTATGATACGAAAATTAAATGGTTAAATACTTATTAACATATTTTAAGGGTATTTCAAGGAACTTCTGTTTTTTCACAATATCTCCTTGTCACTTCTGTGTCGTTTTAGACATCTAATATTTTTTTAATCTAGAAGAAATATTTGTGTAATTTGTATAATCAAATAATGTCTGATTTTAGAGTGATTTAAGTCTAAATTTTTAAGTTAAAATCTCCAACTATAAAAGTATTTATCATTTTTTATACTAATATACTTTTTACACTCAAACTTTTCTATAAGATATGTCTGATTAAAAACTAGCCACGTAGTGCTTGTAAGACTTTGCGTAATATCTTACAGAATAGTTTCTAAACATTTGGTTTTCAATAACTTAACATTCTTTTATTCAACACTCAAAAAACCAGAAACTCTTTGATTATAGACTCTACAAAGAAAAAAGGTTGTATTTTTCATTGCCAAGCTAAGATAAATGGAATTCATGACTGTTTAGAATATGAATCTTTAAAAGTTAAGGTTACGAGCATATATACAGAAGTGTTTTCAGATTTCAAAGATTTATCTGTATTTATGTATTTTATTAATATACTTCCGAAAGTGTCAAACTTGTCTGAAAACAGACGATTGCACAGTTAAAAAAAATTATACAAAGCAAATAGTTTACTAGACACTTATCAAATCACTAATTTAGTGAAATGGGTCTATTTACACTACACATGTGCCATGTCTCTTGACCATAAAACTTTTTAAAGTGAAAACTTTATTTTAAAAGTCGTCTTCCCATTCCAGAGTTTTCTGGTTATCACTGTTTATTTAAAAGTATTGAAATAAAGTATGAATTCACAAATAAGGTTATGATGGCTTAGTTTGACGTAGTAAAATAAAAACTTTGTAAAAATTGTAACAAAAATGACCACAAAACAAAGAAAATTATTTTAATTATTTTAAACTGTTAAACCTGTACTAAAGTTTTGACTTTTGAGAGCTTAGTTTTCATTAATTAAAATTTATTAGTCATTTAATTATGATGTAAATGGCATAATTTATCTGTTCTCAAAAATGTTGTAAGCAAGCATATTTAAAATGAGTATTTTTTATAAACACAAATTGACAATTGTACACAAGAAAATAAAACTTACGATTTGGTAAATTATGCCTTTTCCAATCTCCGAACTCTGTAGTTTATGAATACATTAAATTCAGTATTTTTGATAAGAATATTTTACAATAATATGTTAATAAAGTCTGTTATAAAACCTGGATCTCATATTAAATTGATATTATTGGTCATGTGCCCGCACATCCATTTTAATATTTTAATGGTGGCCATACTCTACTTCTGACCTACGCCAAATCCGCTATACTACACAACCGACCTATTAGCACGTGGTATTACAGCTGCTATATGGACTTGTGGCCGCAGCGCCCGGTCCCCTAGCCGCAGCGCTCGGCCCAGAAATGAGCTTAACCTAACCTACCCCTAAATATACACTAATTTTATTAAAAATTGTGAATTGAAGGTCTTTCATGGCCGCAGCGTTCGGCCCCCTAGCCCGTCCTAGCCGCTGCGCTCGGCCCACAAATGAGCTTAACCTAACCTAACCTTAAATATACACTAATTTTATTAAAAATTGTTAAACTTAAAGGTCTGCCCATCCAACCTACGAAATATGCCCATCCGACCTACGAAAAGTGCCCATCCGACCTACGAAAAATGCCCCGACCTACGAAAAATGCCCATCCGAACTACAAAAAGTGCCCGTCTGACATACAAAATTGAGTGGCCGTCCGACTCGTCCGACAGCTACAATTATAAATTATTTCATACCCTACTGCGCTATTTAATATATATACTTGACAAAAGCTGCTGAATAGGTCAGATGTTGCAGTAGGTCGGATGGGCAGTAGAGCGGATCAACATTACTCGATGTAACATTACCATTTTGATTTGGTTTTAGCAAAGACGACATTCGAGATCTAAAAATGCGCAATGCCCCATAACTTATGGTTAAAAAAACCGCAAACGACAAAATTATTTCGCAAAAGACTAAAGAGCCTGAGGTTGTCCGTAGAAAACTATAACATTTTGTAGCATTGTAGGCCAGGTTTAGGTCAGTTAATAATTATATATGTTAAAATACTGACTGTTATCGTAATTTTATAAGACAAAGTGCACTGGCCCGAAATTTATCAAAATAGAAAGTTTTAGAAGTTTAAAGTTCTTAAAATGTTTCATGAATTGCTGGTTGCCTTACGGGGCCATCCTGGTCTTGTTTTCTCCGAAAAGGTAAAAATACTAATATTTTCGGCATTTCACCTTAACTTTCGACTTTAAATTGATTTTCAATCAGATTATGATAGGAGAGTTGGGAAAACGGCAGAATTGGGCCAACATGGGGAAATTTTCCCAATAAAAGATTCTGAGAACCCCCTCTTCCCCCCCCCCCTATCAATTTTGTACATCGCATATGCAACACATGTGGCTGCAGCGCCCGGCCCCCTTTCCTGTCTAGCTAGCTCGGCGCTTGGCCCCTAAGTCTGTCCTAGCCGCAGCGCTAGGTCCACAAACTGTCTGAACCTAATCTTAAAATAATAAGTAAAAATTTTGTTGAAAATTAGTTGGTTTTGTACAATACTGAAAGGAGGAATAGGTGGGGTGCCATAGAACCAGTTTCGGGTCCTCCTGACCTTCCTGCATAACAGTTCTGTAGCTAAAATGTATTGTAATTTGTCTATGGTGCTTAGAATGGTGTACTGGGCGTGAACCGCATAATATCTGAGCTCCACCCTTGCGAGATCTCGATCATAAACCAACTGCTAGAGGTCGCCACAGATTACAGGTGAGCATTAACGATTTATCATTTTTTTGTTCATAAATTGATTTTTATCTTTTTTCTTGTCTATCGTTGATTAAATGTTCCTCTTTCAAATAAAATGTCATCTAACCCTCTTGAGGTTGCTAAATGCTCATAATTTAGGGTTGTAATTTGCTTCATGTCCCTCCGTTACTTCTTGTTTTTCTTTGTTTACTATTCACTCCTCGCTGGACTTCTTATTCATATTAAATTTGGCATATTATTTAGACTTGCGTTATGCGTTAAGTTTGCCAAATACTGTTCCCCCCCCCCCAATTTTTTTTTTAAATTTCCCTTAAACATTATGCATTTCGGTTTCCCCGCATTGAGCAAATAAAACCTGAAATAAATGTGCTGCCCCAGGCTAACAGTAACTTATCTAAATACCTAAGAAAATATACAACCCTGTGTAATTCCAAATAATTCTCCATTTTAAGAATGACATAGTCTATTTCCAAAGAACCCTGTTGGAAACTTTTTCTGATAAGGAATGGAAAAGAGTCCATTATCTTCTCCTTAAAAACCTGAATGTTTCAACTGTAATTTCTCTTTTAAGCGTGAAAACTATGTCATCTTCCACATTAATGAATTAAAGTCAAATTAAAAATGTATTGTAAATCTGACATGCTACTCTATAAATGGATGGTCTCGCCGTTTTTTTTCCTGCTCTCCTGGTAAAATCTGACACTCTTCTTTTTGTTTTTTCATATTTTGCATGTTGTGCGTTAAACCCGAACTGTTCAGGTTATTGTGTGAGTATATAAACAGAAACCGGTTTAATTCTTCAATGTATCTCTTTGCTCTCTATCAAGGACTGGACAAATCTTTGGAACCTTATCTGCAAACTCTTGTTAAGCTCGGTAACAAAATATCGGACAGGACAGGACAGGACAGGACAGGACAGGACAGGACAGGACAGGACAGGACAGGACGAGGACGGACATTAAAACAAAATATATGAAAAGAAAAAATTAATTTTGTTTAGAAGTTGAAATACTGAAAAACTCTGGAACCCAATTATCCCTGCTCCAACACAGACTTCTCCCCCACCGACCTATTCTCCGAGCTCTAGTTCAACTGGTCCGTGAGGTCGATGAAGAAGCTCCTGCTGGTTGTATGATATTAGATAAAGTCTACCAGGCTGCAGGTTCCGGAGTAGCGGGTGTTGGAACCGCTCTAAAATTAGTACTGAGTGAGCTGCACAAAGTGTTGTATAAGCAGCTTTTGGCCTGGCTGCTTCAGGGCAACCTTTATGATCCGTTTAACGAGTTTTTTATTGTCAAAGATGATAAGGGAAGGATATATCTATTTCAATTTAACTTAATCATAAATTTTTTAAACTTGTACAAAAAATCTCTGTATCTACTTTTGTGGACTCTGAAAAGCTTAACTATTTTTGCAAACTTTCACAAACTTATTTTCTTTGATTAAAAATCAAAGGATTACGAATAGTGATGGAAAGATTTAATCCCTGTACATGAAGGCGGACGAGAGTATTCTGCTGGTTGGGGAGGAGGGAGAGAAGAGTAGAAGTAAAAGCAAAACTTTCCAGCTCCGGTTAGAGATGGTTCCTCAACATATTTCTCATTCTCTTGCTGAGAAAATATTCTTCATCGGAGAGAGTATTCAGTTGTTTGAAAGCGACAGGAGGGTTGAAGTTCAAGGGGCGGTTCTTAGGGATAGGGAGGCAGAGTTCTACCAGGTACAGTACAGTACTGTACTCTACGGTACAGTATACAACCGTACAGTACACTACGACACAGTACGGTACAGTACACTACGGTATAATATACTTTGGTACAGTACCGTTGTGTATGATCAATAAAAATATAAAAATCCTTTGTACAGATTCATTCTACTTCAAGTGAGAAACAAGATTTTTTCAAACTGTTAAGTGTGATTTTTCATATCAAATTCAAACATTTTGGTCCGATTAATGTTATATACGTAAAAGTTAATATATTTTAATAAGCTACTTGAGGATTTAAAAGTGATAATGTTGAGTATTGAATATTAGTGCTGGGACCAATTTTGATGAATTGGAGAGGTCGCTGAACTATATACTGCCGGTTCAAATTCTGAATCACTTGTTCAAATCTTCATGAATCTTTGACTTTGAATCGGTGATTCAAGATTTGAACCAGCTACAGTGAAACCCTTAATAACGAATACATCGAAAGAATTCATCAAATGTCGTATTCTTCACTTTCTGATAATGGAATGTTGCAGATATTTAGTTTTTAAATTAAATGATTATATGGAACTCTTTAAAACTGTTCCCGCATAATTCATGGCTATTTATTTATTTTCACAATACTGAAATTTACGTAATATAGTATTAAACTCATTGAAAAATTGTTAAGACGACATTTGATAAATTCTTCCGATGTATTCGTTATTAAGGGTTTCACTGTATATGTAGTTCAGAAACCAGGGATGTTTATTTTTTAGAAATGTTTTGATTTTTTTTTGGGGGGGGGATTAAAAATTACATATAAATTCAAGTTTTTTCATTGATGCGTTTTTTCCGCAAAAATTGGTTTATTTTTCTTTAAAACTCAATTTTTTTTCAATTCAGCGAATAATACCTTCAAACAAATTGGCGTTCTGGGGATACAATTTATTTTTTAATCGAGGGTGTGTGATTTTTCAAGAAAATATATACCCCTGTCACCGACCTAACTCAACGTCTTTAAATTCGGTTCCTGCTCAACCGCTGTGAATGCAGGAGTTAGCGAGGTTGCGAGATAAAACAGTCTTCGAAGTTGCCGATTTCACTAATTTTGTGGATAAGATTAGGTAGGTTTCCATTTTTAATCCCCCCCCCCCTGTAAAAAACGCGAAATGTTCATATTTATCATTCAAATATGAAACTAAGTTGGATTGAAATTAGTTGTTTAAAAATTATTGAATAAATCTATAGTGCCAGGGGGGGGGAGGTTTAAAGGAACTTATTTCATTATTTCAAGTGACCCTCTACGCAAAGATGACAATGCCCAATTGACAACGTAGTTTACAACCATTATTTGATCATTATTGTGGAAGATACTTGTATTGAGGTTTTAAACTGTTCAATTCTGTTCATTCCTATGTTTTCTTGCCGTAGAAATGCGCAAGTCACTTTTGTACAGAGACTACAATTGAAAATGAACACTTAAAAAATTATTTACATTACATGTGTAAGTCGGAATAGCCATCTTTTCATGGAGGGTCACTACAAATTACGCTTAAAATCCCTTTAAAAGAAAAATACTCCTTAATAATATAAATTTTCAATTTAGGGAGACAGTATCTGAACATCTTCATACTCTTATGATGAAGGAAGCTGACCTTATGGCAGGTTGTTATTTAAACAATTACATTCCATTCCCCCATAAAAGTGTTACAAAAATTCTACAGTTAATTAATTAGTTGTTTAGGAACAGGTGGAGAAAATAATAATTCACTTTAACCTCCCAAATAAGTAAACTTGTTTAGTTATCGGTTTTGTCACGTTCACAAACGTTTTCCGTAGATTTCTGGGAATTTTTTTGAATAGACGACATATGAATAATTTGAAGAAATCTTCAAACAAATTTATTAAGAATATAAGAAATTGAATATAATGATGATAAAGAAATAATTAATTCTACAATTGATATCTTTACAAATTTCTATTGAGAAATATGTTCCTATACAACTAATTACAGGAGTGGAGGGGGAAAAGGAATGAGGGGTGGATGGGGAGAAGGAAGGGAGGGCAGAGGTGGTGACGGAAGGAGGGTGGATGGGGAGAAGGAAGGGAGGGCAGAGGTAGTGACGGAATTAGAGTATCAAGGACTGGTTGTGGCAGTTGCAGAAATCTCTACCCTTATCCCCATCTCCATGACTTCCATGACTCCATTTTGCCAAGAGTTTTTTAGAACAAAATATAGTACCCCTCTAAGGGTTTAGTTAACTTGTTATGGCTTCATGCCATGTTTTAAACCAAATCAACCTATTGTGAATAGTGATAAATACACAATACACATACACAGTATAAAGTACACTACAGGTCTACACATATACTTAGCAAAAGCATCAACAGGTCTATATAGACACTCTTAGCTCTTAACATACATAATAAGGAACTAAATACTTAACAAACATAATCTATATAATAAAACAAGACATTCGTAATTTTAAATATTTTGCCCATAGCCGTCCGAGCGGCTGTACCGAATGGGCTCAAATGTTTTGTGGACACTCATGGGTGGTCGGAGGGTAATAAAAAATCGAAATTTTTTTCGAAATTTTTTTCTTTTTTTTCACGGGCAACGCCGGGCCCTTCAGCTAGTAAGGAACTAAATTCTTAGCTTAGCATACATAATAAGGAACTAAACTCTTAGCATACATAATAAGGAACTAAACTCTTAGCATACATAATAAGGAATTAAACTTTTAGCATAAATAATAAGGAACTAAACTCTTAGCATACATAACAAGGAACTAAACTCTTAGCATACATAATAAGGAACTAAACTCTTAGCATACATAANCATAATAAGGATCTAAACTCTTAGCATACTTAATAAGGATCTAAACTCTTAGCATACATAATAAGTAACTAAACTCTTAGCATACATAATAAGGATCTAAACTCTTAGCATACATAATAAGTAACTAAACTCTTAGCATACGTAATAAGGATCTAACCTCTTAGCATACATAATAAGGAACTAAATTCTTAGCAATCATATGCATTACAAATAGAGATAAATTTTTCTCTTAGCATACACAATAGGTCTATATTAGCAATCATACACAATACTAACAGAGATAAATTTTTCTCTTATACACAATAGGTCTATATTAGCAATCATACACAACAGGGAGACACTAAGCATTTAGTATACACAATATATGTAACACCACTAGTCCTAGTTCATAATGTATTGTATGCTAAACGGTATTCAAATATGTTTTTTATTGTACCAAACAATGTATTATTTACTGTTTTGTAGAGCTTGGAACAGTTTGGAATCTGTTCCTGTTAGGCCGGGGGGAACTTTTCCATACTTTTATCCGATTAACTGAGGAACGATTAAGGAATCCACCAACCATTACAACACAAACTGATGTTAATGAGGTGAGAAAATTGTTTTATTTTATTAGATTCAATAACGTCTTATTTCTTGACTAAGATAACAGTATAACTCGATTAATGTATGTATGTATGTATGTATTTAAAGGTACATAAATATGTAGGATTCTTTCCGGGGCTACAATGTAGGGTTCCGATCCTTACATTATTTCTCATTAATATGTCGATAACGTTTTCTTAAAATTGTAGGAATTTGGTTCAGATTTTACTAAAATATTTCTTAAATTGTTCACTCAAAAAGTTCCATCTTTGCATGTCCATTATTCATTTTTAGAAAGGAAAAAATATCTCTTTATATGCGCTCATTAAAGATTTAGTTTTTACAAGCAATTTATATTGAGGTGTGTTTTAATTAATTAGGTAGTTAAACTTGACCGAGAAGTTCAACTACTACTCTTGTGCACTCTAGAGGTGGTTGAACTTTTCGTCCCTAGTTCAACTAGTTCTCGCTATTGATTATTTCCGACCAATCTGGTCAATTTCAACTTTAATAAAATAAAATCATTCATTTTAAAATGCGAAGAGAATGAGTGAAAGAATTAATCTTTTTACAATTCGGTGGGAGTAATTGAATAAAATCATAGAGAGTAAAAAGTTAAGAAATATGTTTGTGTTGAGGCCTGGAGAACAGCGGCGCAGCTTATTCTTTCACAATCAGAGGAGGAAAATATATCACACAAGGTAATTAGATAGGTAGAAAATAGGTTGAAAATAGGTTCAAAATAGGTAGAAAATAAGTTGTAAATAGGTTGAAAATAGGTAGAAAATAGGTAGAAAATAGGTTGAAAATAGGTTGAAAATAGGTTGAAAATAGGTAGAAAATAGGTTGAAAATAGGTTGAAAATAGGTAGAAAATAGGTAGAAAATAGCTTGAAAATAGCTTGAATAGCTTGAAAATAGCTTGAATATAAAAAAGATTAAATCAAGTTGAAAATAGTTTTAAAGTTTAGAGGAACTGAATAGAAAAAAGGCTTGAAAATCGGTAAAAAAAATTAGTAGAACAGAATAGTTAGAAAGGTAAAAGTTCGAAGATAAGTTAAACACCTGAGTCTAAAACTAAAGAATGCGCGAATTTTAAGTTCGAGGTTAAAAGCTCTGTAAAATAATGAATAGCTACTTAAATATTAAACTTTCTCAATTTAAAATTTGAATTTCCTGGGAAAATCTGAACCAATCAGAGAAAAGGATTTACGAAGAATTATTACATAAGTATTGGTAATCAGCTGTTTTTTTAATTTTAAACTATTTACGTGACGGAAAACAAAACATATTTCCAGTTACAACCGTATTTTGGGTTTACATGCAAACATTAATTAATCTAAAACGTGAAATATATTAAATCAAGGTTTTTACTTTTAAATATATCGTAATTAATTAGTTGAATGCCGCTTACCGCTGAATGATGAAAGACAAATAGGGATTGCGGGATCGGGGATTTCAAGATTTTAATCCTGTGTTTAAATTTTAACTCGTCGATTTCGGCAAGTTAAATATTTAACCACAGGCTTAAATATTTGACCTCACGGTTAAAGTTCAGGTTTAAATTAAGTCAGAAGTGGCATTTAACCATGAACTTAAAATTTAAGTCAAAACTTTTCGTTCTTTAGTTTTAGACTCAGGTTTGGTTAAAACTTAAACCTTAAAGTTAATTTTGTGTCAGTTTAGTAAATCGATTTTTTCTTATTAAGCTTGGTTTATCTTAAATATTCTTAGATCAAAGTTTTGATCGGTAATGAACCCTATGAAGGATGGGGTCAAATTTCTATACAGTATGCTGTATCCTGGCCTCTTCATCTGATCATCACTCCATCAGCCATTCACAGATATAACAAGGTAGGGCTTGATTGATTGATTGCTAAATTTCCCTAAGAAATTAACCTTTCATTCCTTCTCTAAATTTTATAAAAACTTGACTTCAAGGGCCCCCCCCCCCCCCCCCCCCCACACTTTTAAGATAATCTTGCAAGATTATGTTAATCTTGAGATTATCAAAAAGAGAGAGGATCAAACATTAATTCCGATATCCACCATTCTAAAGTTTTTAGCTCTGGAGTCATGTGAGTTGCCATAAACAATTTTGTCCCAATATTGATCCAGCCGTTTGAACGTTAATTGAATACAAACAGACAGACAAGGCAGAGTAAATACAGATGTTCGATATGTTGGCTATAAATCGAATTTGTTTTCCAGATTTTCTCGTTCCTGTTGTTGATACGGAGAACACAGAACTGTTTAAATCATCTCTGGTCAGATATGATGATGAAGGTGAGGATTCACCCGGATTAAGATCCTATCTTATTTTTGAGAATTTTTTTCGTCAATCTTAGAACTCGTAACTTTAACAGAGCTTACAAATATGATGCAATGCTTAAACTGAGTTTGAACTAACTGAACTTAAAACACTCTTGAGTGGGAAACTTTTGTATCTTAAACCTACTGCTTCAGCACTCAGACGGTTTCTATCCCCTTTAAAGGGGAAACTTATAAGTAGATTAAAGATGCATAAATGTATATTTAATCTACTGCCTCAGGGCCAATATGGTTTCTATCCATATTTGTGTGTTCGTCGAGTACATCGAGATATGTGTGCGTGCAACCTTATCGAAACCCGCTTGTATTTAGCTGAAAATTCAAATATGTGCTGTGTTGAGTTCAGACCACTGCACGCATAACCCTCTTTGTATGGAGGGTCACTTGAAATTACACTTACAGTCTCTTTCACTATAGGTAAGGAGAGGGGAAAGAGAAGCTAAGGAAATGGGGGGCTTGATCTGGGAGACAAGACAGCATATCTCGTTCATCGTGTCTAATATACAGGTAATAGATAGATATACTTGATTTATTAATAGACAGATATATTAGATTTATTAATAGACCGATATATTAGATTTATTAATAGACAGATATATTTGGTTTATTAATAGACAGATATATTTGATTTATTAATAGACAGATATATTTGATTTATTAATAGACAGATATATTAAGATTTATTAATAGACAGATATATTTCATTTATTAATAGACAGATATATTTCATTTATAAATAGACAGATATATTTGATTTATTAATAGACAGATATATTTGGTTTATTAATAGACAGATATATTTGATTTATT